GAAATGCTCTCATAAAATACTAGAGTACCAATCTGCAAAGTATTTCTCCAAAAGTAGCAAATGATTTTTCCCTAGAAAGCAGAAGCATTCGTAGTTTTTCTATGCCACATGAGTTACTGGCAACATTTTAAGGAGAGAAGTTTGCAGAACAATATTTAGGAAGTGGCACATTACAAGTTGTCCACTGAGAACAAGTATAATGAGCATTAAGCAAAGTTGTGTTCAGTTTTATGAGATGTTGACTAAGATGCTGAAAATCCTGGAAGACATATGAAATGGAGTACTCGTTTTTTAAAAAGTATGGTACGGCACTGTGTGTGGTATAGCCAGGAGATTCTAAGATTGTCTGGCAGTCTGAAGCTCTAGTTCTTTTTTAGCATTATGCAACGAGCTAGACTTATTTGGAGGGGCTGGGAAAGCTGTGACTGACCCAAGGACACCCAGCTTGGCTTCAAGTGGAGGAGGGTGGAATCAAACCCAGTTCTTCAGATTACAGTCCATCACTCTTAACCACTATACCTGTAGTGTATTCAAAGCTGCCTTGAATGCATGATATGTTGTGAAACATTTCATTGGAATGTAATGTAAAGCTTCGTCCTGGGCTAGAATCCAAATCCATCCAATCGTGTTAGTAGCCCAGGAAGCACCTAACCAATCACCTTCTAGCAAGCTCCCTGAGCGGGAACATCCGTGATTGGTCCTTATGTGAACAACCTTATTGGTTGGTATTTGTACAGTGGGTGTGGCTATATTAGCCAGGAATGTTTAAAAGCAGGACAGCTGCAATATAAAGGCTGTTCTGGCTATCAGATGTTGATCCGTGTTGGGAGTTGTGTTGGAGTTGAAGAATAAAGTTGTGTTCTTGCTGAATCACTCTCCGACTTCTTTGTTAAGCGAACGACTTAACAATACCACACTGGCTCCCAGAGTACTAGTAATGGCAAGGCTCAGGACAAAGTGCAGAAAATATTTGTTGTACAAAAATATCCAAATTATGTGAAAAGAACTGGTGCTGTTAAATACTAAGCAAGGCCTGCACAGGTTATTACCTACCAGACTAAACATAGCCCATCACTCATATATGGCAACCCATCAGAGGCTTGATAAACTTCCTGTTTTGGCTGCTTGCCTAGAACTGAAAAAACAGGGGGGCTTATCAAGTATTTGGCAGCCCCCCCCCCAGTAGGTGGCCTGTGTCTGGCTTTGAGGGTCACAAATGATAAAGACTTGCCAAAGAAGCTTGCACTGGTAACTGCTGATTGGATACCAAGGTCCAAACTAGTTCAGCTGGGATGGGGACAGCCATATTTCGCATCTGCCCCATCTATATATATTGCAAATGTGTGATTGGAGCAGAAGGTGAGGTCTAATTTTTACAACTAAAGTGCTGTGGAAGGGAGGAGAGCTGAATCCTTCCCCCTCTGCCCTTTATGACTGAACTTTCTCCTGCTCTGTCTTAAATACCAGAAGTGACTGAGATTGGGGGAAAGGGGTGGGAGCATGGAGTGGTAAGGCATGGGAGAAGGAAATGTTCACTTTTTATTGTAAAAATTAGACCATTCCCCTGTTTCATTTGCAAATAACCATGCATATAAATAAATAAATGGGTCTATCTTGGGTTGCCAGCCCCCCGGTGGGAGTACGGCAATCCCCGCTTTCACAGACTCTTGCCTGCTGCTGGCCAGTGGGGGGAAATCCCTCCCCCAGCTGACCTTTTCGGGCCTATTTCCGGTTTCAGACCTACTTCCAGTTGGGGGTGATGCTAGAGTTTTGAGGCAAAACTCTGTGGTTTGAAGCAGAATTTATCATAGAGTTTTGCACGCACGCACACACACCCGGGACCAGAAGTGGGCCCGAAACCGGAAGTGAAAATGCCCAACATCACTTCCGGTCTCCTCGAGGGACGTTGGGAGGCCCCTGCCTGCCCAGGTAAGTTGACCTGGCAACCCTATGTCTACCCCTTTTACATCTGGTTTGGCTTTGATATGCATGTGAAGCTGCTTTGTATCATCTTTAATCATTAGTCCATGTAGCTCAATGGTGTATACTCTAGCTAGCAGCAATTCTGCTTGATCTTATGCTGAGGGAATTCTTTCTTAATATCTGAGATCCTTCAATTGGAGATGCTAGGGATTGAACCTGGAACCTCCTGTATGCAAAGCTGATGCCCCCCACTGAGCCACAGTTCTTCCTCCTGATACAGCTGCTTTGCATACTTTATGTTAATTGCTCCATTCCATTGGAAAATTTTATGTTGTGTTAATTTTTATGTGATATAATTTAGCCAGATTATTTTTCTCATATTTAGTAAACAGCATTTTTTAAAAAGATAGCATATAAGTTTTATGTGCTAATAGCAACAAATACCTGAGCTGAAATCAGGGGCAAATTGGGGAGGGGGAAATGCCCCTGGAAATTGAAACATATAAATAACAACTTTAGATTTCATGCAAACTAAAGAAACTGAAACCAACGACAACCTGTATGCATAGCATTCTGTAAAAAATTGGAGATGCAAATCAGAACAATGGGTGATTGCTAATACATCGATTCTGTTTGAGTTATGCAACAGTTCCATTCTGCAATCCTGGCCAGTATTTTATTCTGTCCTTGATTAACCACATGCTAATGCATTGACAGCCATTGCGATATAGTGCTGAGAGTGCTGGATTAGGATCCGGAAGACCTCGGGTTGAATCACCAGTCTACTATAGAAGCTTGCTGGATGATCTTGGGCCAGTCAAAGGCTCTCAACCTAACCTGCCTCACAGATTTGCTGTGAGGATAAATTGAAGGAGAAAAGAATGATGTAAGCTACTTTGATCCCCATTGTGGAAAAAAACAGGGTATAAATGAAGTAAATAAATAAATAAAAATTCCTTCTGCCCTGACCTGGATAGACTTGGATGGGACTACCAAGGAAGTACAGGGCTACTGTGCAGAGTCAGGCAATGGCAAACCACCTCTGCTTGTCTTTTGCCTTGAAAACCATTCGGGGTGACAGTAAGTTGCCTGTGACTTGATGGCACTTTCCACCAGTGCATTCCAGAATTTATTGTTGTCTAGATGGGAAAAAGGAGGTTCTTTACAATAAATTGTGTAAGTCACTCTTCTTTTGTTCAGAAGATTTTGACTAACAGTGGTATTGCTTTCCCTTGTTTTTATAGGAGAGATGGAGGAGCTGGAAGCTCTCTGGCTCACTGGCATTTGTCACAATGAAAAGAATGAAGTAATGAGCAGTCAGCTGGATATAGATAACATGGCAGGTGTCTTCTATATGTTGGGAGCAGCCATGGCCCTTAGCCTCATCACGTTCATCTGTGAACATCTCTTTTACTGGCAGTTCCGTCATTGCTTCATGGGTGTCTGCTCTGGCAAACCTGGTGTTGTCTTCTCTATCAGCAGGGTGAGTACTTCCAGCACAAGTAAAGAAAGATTGGGGGAAATTCTTACCTCATTACCATGACTGTTCCTTCCATCCAAGCCAACACTGGCTGTTATCTAGCAGTGTTATCCATTAGGCTTACAAGTATCAAATGGGCTGCCATCATTTGCCAGATTTGCCATTTCTGGCCTCCCTTGGAATAGAGTTGCATGGTTGTGAGAGAGAATCTACTGAGGAATATGGACCTTTGAAAGTATGGGAGAAAACAAAAACATGTTTAAAAGTATGAATACGTTTTCTTCCATCCCTGGTCATATAACTTAAAAGCTCAGAATGAAGCTGTGCAATTTTTTACTGTAAGATGAACCTTTGTGGAGAGCTCTGTAAAACTCATGACTTTTATGTGAGTGTTTTCGGTGTTCCTGAGTAGATTTTACTGGAGGATAAAAAGGGCATTTCTGCCTAAAGTTTTTCCCCTGGCAAGTAATTTCTGTGAATTCTTTTTTGCTTCGGTTATAAATATGGTGGGATCTCCAGTTGTTCTTTCTCTTTCATCATCTCATGTTTCTGAATTTGACTCTTTTTCTGTCCTGCAGATCATAGTTTTGCATCCTAATATCATAATACATGAGCTCTGAAAGAATTTAGTTTGTTACTGGATTGTCTTTGATCTAGAGGCCTGCACACACAATGGGCTTCTATTATCAACTGTGGTAAATAAGCAAGAGGACTCATTCCGGTGTCCTAGCCAGCAGTGGGAGAATCCTGCACAAGGCTGCATTGCTGGAGCACAGCCAATTTTAGTACATTCTGTGATACTGCTTTCAAGATTTAGAGTAAGGTTATCGAACTCATTTGTTACAAGGGCCGGACCTAACATAAATGAGACCTTGTTGGGGCGGGACGTGTGTGTCATAAAATGCAATGCCAGGTAGCAAAGATATAAACTTTATAAAGGACACAGACACAAAGGGTTTTTTTTAACTTAAAATAAAAACATGCTTAAAACATTAGCACTCTTGTAATATTTTGTTTTGGAGCTGCGGTGGCGCAAGTGGTTAAGACGCTGAACTGCAGGCTGTGAAAGGTTGGTAGTTCAGCAGTTCGAGACCCGAGTGCCGCATGACGGAGTGAGCTCCCGTCTCTAGTTCCAGCTCCTGCCAACCTAGCAGTTCGAAAGCAAGAAATTGCAAGTAGATAAATAGGTACCACTTCAGTGGGAAGGTAACAGCGTTCCGTGTGCCTTGGTATTTAGTCATGCCGGCCACATGACCACGGAAATGTCTTCGGACAGCACTGGCTCTTCGGCTTTGAAACAGAGATGAGCACCGCAACCCTAGAGTCGGATTCGACTGGCTTTCGAGCAAGGGAACCTCTACCTTTACCTTAATATTTTGTTTATTTAACAGTGTGTGATAACTGACACCTCTTGCTCTGAATTATTACATCAAAATGTCTATGCTGTTGCAATCTTGAGTATGCTGTTCAGGTGTGTATCTGTAAGCTGCAAACCTACAATGACGCAGCAGCAGCAGAACTGGAAAAAGAAGCAAAAGACAGCCAGTTCCACTGCAGGCCTGATAAAAGTCCCCCGGGGGCCTGATAGAAGTCCCCCGGGGGCCTGATTTGGCCCCCAGGTTGTATGTTTGACACCCCTGATTTAGAGACTCATTGGAAAGCAGTCTTTTACATGATAAATTCACTAGTGTGATTATTCCCCAGACCAAAGGTGGCTTGGGGATAGACAACGTTTTCATGGGGTTTTTTTTTAATTACAAGGATGTGTATTTGTTCTTTTTTATGTTATTTAGCTTAATATAGTTTAGTCTATTCATTATGAAATCATGATCTATGTTTAGGATGTCTTTAAATGCTGAATTCTGGGATGAGAAAAATTAAGATATTAGAAAAAGTGAGGCAAAGTTGGGTTGGAAAATTATCTTTTGTAAACTTTAAAATTGTATTTAATTTTTTGGGGTCAGAGTCTTGGGAAGAACAATCGAACGAATTATAGTTTTGTAGTAGGAAACATTAAGAAAACAGATTAGATAGCTTTTCACAATGAAAAAAGGGTTCCCGTTCCCCCAGACTTCTCTTTGGATTGTATCCCTTTCCAAGGAATTTTAGTGAACTGGCAGGCTAAGTTTGAGCATAAGGCTCAAAGATGGCTCTCTTGGTGCCTTACTTGCTGAGATAACTTCTGGGACCTAAGATGTGATCCAGGCACCTACAGAACCATCCCTAACTGCCTGGCAAGGAATTTTTGTCCAAGGATCTGGTCTCTATGGACACTGAATGAAAAATGGATTAAAGGTAGGAGGTAGAAAAGGCAAGGGGTGAAATTCCCTCTTCCTGTGTTCTGTCCTGTCAAAGTTCACATATCAGTGGAAGATCTTAGATTTACTCCTCAGAAGTAGAGAGGGATTAAACCTAAAATGGAATGGAATTGTTGGAATAGGTTCATCCCTAGTGAATCATGGATGCACAGCTGTAGCCAAGATGAATAACAAGGGCCGAAGAATATGCCAAATGAATTAGTACCTCTTCTATGTTTTCTGAAGCCCCAGCCTGGCCATTTCTAATTTCTGAGTGGCCGCATGTTTCTTCTAGCTTGTTCCTAAATAACTAAAGAATATTTAAAAGATAGGGTAGGGTTGCCAAGTCAAAATGTCTTACCGGCGGGGGACCCTCGCCGGGCTCCAGGAGCCATCCTTCGATGTGTGCGCGCGCGCGCGCTGCCAGCACGTCACCGGAAGTGACGCGCGACATCGATTACGTTGAAGGCATAGCCCCGATCGTCGAAGGTAAAACCATAGTTTTCCCTCCGACGATCGGGGCCACACCCCCAACGTGATTGACGTGGTTGCATCACCTCCGGTGACGCAGCCACGCTGCGCTTCAGGGGGCGGAGTTCCCCCTGGGGCCTGATTCTGCGGCAGCGGAAATCGGGCCTCCGAAGCGGGGGTTTACCCGCCACCCGCCCCCACTTGGCAGCCCTAAGATAGGAGGTATTACATTTATACATGTGTGTGTTAAGTGCCATCAAGTTGCTTTCGTCTTATGGTGACCCTATGAGTTAATGCCCTTCAAAACGTGCTATTGTTAACAGCATTGCTCAGATCTTCAAACTGAGGGCTATGGGTTCCTTTATTGGATCAATCCATCTCCTTTTGAGTCTTCCTCTTTTCCTGCTGCCTACAACTTTTCCTAGCATTATTGACTTTTCCAGGAACTCTTGGTTTCTCATAATGTGATCAAAGTATGATAGCCTCAGTTTAGTTGTTTTAGCTTCTAGGGAGAGTTCAGGCTTGATTTGTCCTAAAACCCCATTTTTGGCAGTTTCCTCCAGTGCAATATTTAAAATGAATCAACTTTCTTCCTGTTAGCTTTCTTCTTTGTTCAACTTTCATACCCTTGCATAGTAATGAGGAGTATTATGGTGTGAATTATCTTGATCTTGGTCTCCAGCAACATATTCTTACCCTGAAGATTGTTTCTAGCACCTTCATGGTTGCCCTTCCCAGTCAGTCTCTTTCTGTTTTCTTGGTTGCAGTCTCCCTTTTGGTTGATGATGGGGCCAAGGAATAGAAAATCTTGAACAATTTCCATTTCTTTATCAACCTTAAAGTTGTATATTTCTCCAGTAGTGATTATTTTTGTCTTCTTGTTGTTCAGCTGTGTTCCTTCTTTGTTACTTTCTGCTTTAACTTCATCAGTAGTTGTTTCCTTTACTATTTTCTCCCAGTAACACTGCATATCTCAAATTGTTAATGTTCCTTTTCCTTCCACCGGTTTTCACTTTACCTTCATCTAAATCGAATTCAGCTTTCTTTACGATGTATTCTGCATATAGAATGAAGAGACGGGGAGATAAAATACATTGTTGTTTGACACCTTTGACAATTAGAAACCAATTTGTTTTTCCGTATTCTGTCCTAAGAGTAGCCTCTTGTCCAGAGTACAGACCGAGCATCAAAATAATGAGATGTTGTGACACACCCATTTCTTTTAAAACCAACCATAACTTTTCATGATCCACACAAATACTTTGCTGTAGTCTGTAAAACACAAGCAGATTTTCTTCTGAAATTCTCTTGTGTGCTCCAGTGACCAAAGTAAATTTGCAATATGATTTCTAGTTCCTCTTTCTTTTCTGAATCCAGCTTTAACATCCAGCATTTCTTGTTTTGTATATGGTAGCAGTCTTAGTTGTAAAAGTTTGAACAGCACTTTACTTACATGAGAAATTAACGCAGTGTCTGATAGCTGCTGCAGTCTTTGATGTCTCCTGTTTTTGGAATTGGATTATAGATTGAGCATTTCCAGTTGTGGGCCACTGTTTTGTTTTCCATATTTGTTGGCATATTCTTGTTAAGATTTAATGGACATTGTTTCTGTAGCTTGAAATAGCTTATTAATATACCATCTACTCTGGGTCATTTGTTTCTTCCTATTGCTTTCAATGCAGTTTTCACTTCACTTTCTAAAACTGCAGATTCTTCCTCAGAAGATTATTCTTTGAAGGAATCTGTCATCCTTTTTTCGTCAGTGTATTATTCCCATCTTTTCTTTATTTTGTCCTGTTCAGTTAATGTATTGCTGTGTTGCTCTTTTAGCATGCCTAAATGTGCATTAAATTTCATTTTGATTTCTTGGATCTTGTGGAACAGATCTCTTGCTCTTCCATTTTTGTTTTTTTTTAATTTTAACTTTTTAAGGGAATACAGAATAAAGAAAAGGAATAGGGAAAAAGGAATAAAAGGTATGACTACACAATATAGAGGACAACTTTGCAGGTATTAAGGACAATCCTTGATTAAAATACATGTATATGTAAAAAGAATATATGAGATGCTAGCTTAAAGAACCACTTATAACAACTAACTTGACTTATTCTACCCTTTTCTCATAATATATTATCATTTTTATCCTATGTTCTCTATTTTATCATAAAACATGAATAACCTCATAGAAATTTTGTATATAATTTTAACATAGTTTATTGTAATAAAAGTCATATA